TGATATCTTCTTTGTAACTTGTATTCGGATGTGCACAATCTTTCCTATTTTCGCTTTTGTGTAATTTCAGAATAATATATCAATGCAAAATGCATAATAACAATAACTAAAATAAGATTAGTATATGTCAACAAGGTAGATTCTATCACCCGCGCGCAAAATTCAAAACAAAATATACATCTTTCATGTAAGTGTCTTATTAAAGAAAACTAGAGAATTAAAGACTTTGGTACATAAATGTAAGTAATATGATTATATTAATGACAAAGTCTTGTTTGTTGATTTTTTTGTCAGTCTTGCATTTGCACCAAGGTTTGATTTATATCAAAAACCAAGATTTATATACAGTGAAAAGCATCATTAAATTTTTGTTTCATATTGTAAAGTCGAAAGAAACAGTAAAGTAAAGTAATTGATTTCTTTTTTTTACCTATAAATAGCTACAATTTTTGGGAAAGATAATATACTTGTCATAACCATATATAACAGTATATATAGAATCTGTCTTTTGTGTGGAATTCAAGGTATTAATTTTAATAAATATAATTTAACAGCTATCAGTATGGTCAAAATATTAGTATTCACGCTTTCAAAACTTAATGCTAGTAGATCTAGTACTAAGAAAAAATACGACATAATTCAATTTGAGGATATTTCAACATGAACACTTTTAAATATTGTCATCAATAATTTTGACTATAGATATTGATCAAAAAAAGAAGCATTTGCCTCCAGGGTACATGGACGTGTGGCAATATAAATCCAAAGGACAACTGAGGCCTAGTTAAAAGCCACTTTCCTGCACATTCAGTCTTAGACTACATTGTTTGCTAACAATAGGACTCAAACTGATTTACATACTAAGGAAAAACTCTGCAAGGGAAATTAATCTTAGGTGTCATATCAATTAAATGCTCTTATTACTTAATTGTAATGTTTTTAATGTACTGAATAGGTTAATTTAAATAAATTCACAATTGTTTGAAAATTTTGTTTGTTTACTCGTAGGTTTTGAACTTTAGATGTGACGTTAAACGTAGAATTAACTTTAAACAGCCTAATTTTAAGAAAGATAATTGTGAAAACAAACGCAATAAACCCTGGTTCAATAAAGAGTTGAAATATCATTTGGCAAAGCGATTAAATAGTAAAAATCCTTGTTTAGAAAATAAAGCTAATCTTCAATTAGAAAGCAAAAATTATAAAAAGATTATGGATTCGTGTATAAAAGATTATAGGAAAGGCATAACAAAAAACTTGAAATCTTTACGATCAACAAATACTAGAGAATATGGAAAATTTTAAATGGTCCTAATGCGATAAATAAATGTGCTGTAGATATTAATGCTATGTTTGATTTTCTGAAGGGCATCAATGAAGGTCATGACAATGTAAGTTTTCCAACAGATAGCCGTGTATGTGATGATTTTTTGAATTTTGAGATTAGTGAGGAAGAAATTTTATGTGCAGTTAAAAGATTAAAAAATAATAAGGCCGCAGGCTATGACCAGTTGCTAAACGAACATATTTCATCAACAATAGCTACGTTTTTGCCTGTATATAAAAAAATGTTTAATTTGATTTTTGATAGTGGAATAATTCCAGACGAATGGCTCACGGGTATTGTCAAACCGATTTTTAAAAATAAAGGTGACCCAACAAATCCAGAAAATTATCGTCCAATAACACTTTTAAGTTGTCTTGGTAAGCTTTTTACCTCCATTTTATGTAAACGCTTGGAATGTTATGTAGATAGCTTAAATCTTATAAGCGAAAGCCAAACTGGCTTTCGGAAAGGTTATTCTACCTTGGATAATATACTTAGTTTACATTTTCTTTCAAACATGGTGATGTCTCTCAAAAAGAAACTTTTTTGTGCTTTTATTGACTTCAAACAGGCATTCGACACAGTGTGGAGAAATGGGCTTTGGTACAAACTTTTGAATAATGGCATTACCGGAAAATGTTTTACTTTTATAAAAAATATGTATAATGGTGTCAAGTCTCTTGTGACTATGAATGGTCTTTCATCTGAATTTTACAATTGTAACATTGGTGTCCGCCAAGGAGAAAATTTATCACCTCTCCTGTTTTCTATGTATATTAATGATCTAGAAGAGTTTCTGGCCAGCAAAAATGTACATGGGCTATCTTTTAATAATGTGAGCAGTTCAAACTCTGTAGAAAATGAAATTTTGATGTATTTTAAAATATTTATTTTGTTCTATGCTGCGATACATATAATGTCTGAGTCTGCAGAGGGTTTACAACATGCTCTAAATGAGTTTCATTCATATTGTGTACAATGGAAACTGACTGTCAATGTAGACAAAACAAAAATTATGATTTTTTCGAAAGGTCCATCTGTTAAGAATGTATTTTATTACAATAATTCTGTTATTGAAATTGTGAACGAATTTAAATACCTAGGTATACTGTTTTCTGGATCAGGTTCATTCTGTAAAACTAAAAAACATTTATGTGAGCAAGCTCAAAAAGCAATGTATGGAATTATACGAAAAATTCGACAATTTAATTTTTTGCCAGCTTGATTTGTTGAAAGTTGTCACTCCAGTACTTTTGTATGGATGTGAGATATGGGGTTTTGAGAACATTGATATGATTGAACGTGTTCATCTTAAATTTTTGAAACATATTTTTAATCTAAAAAGTAGTACTCCTAGTTATATGGTTTATGGCGAAACGGGTCGCTTCCCTTTGTATATAACAGTGTATTCGAGAATGATATCCTATTGGGCAAAATTATTGGTAAGCCTGAAAATAAGATTGTTTATGTTACATATAGACATTTATTTGAACAGTTCAGTACAGGAAGTCATAAGAATCCTTGGATTTTATGTATTAAGAATATACTAGATAGTTGTGGCTTCTCAAATGTGTGGAATGAACAGACCTTTATAAATATTAAATGGCTAAAGGCTATAGTTGATCAACGTCTTAAAGATCAGTACATACAGAAGTGGCAAAGTAATATGCGCGATTCATCTAAAGGTCTCTTTTATAGTATCTTCAAAACAGAATTTGGATTTGAAAAATATTTAGCCTTACTACCAAAAAAATTTAGAACAATATTAATTAAACTAAGAACAACAAATCATCGTCTTCCAGTTGAGACTGGGAGATGGTTTGGGATTCCCAAAAATGATAGACAATGTAATCTTTGTAATAATGGACAAATAGCTGATGAGTATCACTACATTTTAGAATGCAAATATTTTTCCGAATGTAGAAAAAAATATCTTCCCAGTATATTTGTAATAGACCAAATTTTTTCAAATTATCAGAATTGTTGTCATCTGCTGACTCCAAACTATTGATTAAACTATGCTGTTACATAAATAGAGTATATGAAAAAGTCTGTCCTCCATAGTTATCTTTGTTACTTTATATGAATATTTCCGCCATTTCACGTGTATCTTGTATATTATTCTTTGTATATATTGTACATATTGTTGAACCTCATGTACCATTGATATGGTCTGAGTGAATAAAATGAACTTGAACTTGAACTTGAACTGCTACTTATTTTTGAAGTTTCAGTTGATCACTGTTAGTGGTCTATGTATTTAATTTAGAATATTTTTATTTAATCAAAAAAAAATACATAGCGTCCATTACGCTAAAAGTGTAGAATCTTTTAAAAAATCATAAAATGTCTAAATAAGATTGATTCTACAGGTTGGCAATCATACAAATCTCTTTACAATTAAACAATTTCGATCTACAGAATTGTGCTTCTTTGTTTTCTTATCTTTCCTTTTGCTTTTGTGTAATTTCAAATAAAATTCAATGCAAAATGCATAATAACAATAACTAAAATAAGATTAGTATGTCAAGGTAGATTCTATGCCAAAATTCAAAACAAAATATACATCTTTCATGTAAGTGTTCGAGTACAAAGTAAAAGTGCATTTGCACCAAGGTTTGATTTATATCTATTTCTTAAATTTTTGATTGAAGTTGGAAAAAAGTTTTTTTTTTTATTTCTAGTCTGTCATAATTATATAACAGTATATATAGTCCTTTTGTATGATCCACCCACCCCCTTCGAAAAAAGTGGTTTGCAGAAAGCAATAACAAATAAAAAAGACAAACATATGTGTACAACATGCATAAATGTCATAACATTTAATGTAAAGGTGATATGCATATACATTAAATATTCTTTTTAACTAAAACTTAAACTTGTATTTTGATTAGCATTACTTCCATAGATAGGTGGTTTGAAAACATTCAGCTAATCAAAACAGATAATCAGGGTCAAACACTAAAAATAAATCTCTTAAATCATGCACAGCTAATACAATTGTACATATATTGTCTTCAAGAATGTTAACGTGACCTGATAAATTATTTTCTTTTTACTCAAATTCCTGACATTGCAAGGTCATTTTATTGATATCATATGATTAAAGAAGCGGAGTTTTTGAAAAGAAGTTAATGTTTTAGTTTCCTCTTTTCATTCTAAATCTAATATGTTTAGCTATGATAAATAGAATACCTCTTTTGGGGATTTTGTATAGTGATGTTGTGCAAAATTGATGCTGAGCATGAATTCACTTTAATAAATTCATAAAGTGTAATACCAGTAACAGACAAAAAATTAATGAAATAGTACACTATATTAATTATGCATATATTCATCAAACGCAGCGTTTTGAAAGTTAGAGCATTGCATTGTGACATGCATTATGTATATCTTTAGCAATTAAATGAATGTTCTACAAGCTATTTGGCGCAGTAGCTACAATAATGTTAAAACGTTCTTTTTTTGCAGTTGAACTTTGACATGTCAGACCATCGCGGGGTTTGGCGTAGATCAACGTACATGTACTTCTGCGTGTCCATAGGATTTGGAATACCGTCGCACCTTGGGGTCCTAAATATTTGTTACAACTTAAATCCTGGCCTGTTTTCAATGTAATTGGGCGGTATGAGAAGAGTATAATACCCATGATGTGTATTTAAATTTAGACTTGTATAGGATTTCCAAAGAATCTATATATAGGATTATTTTTTGTCCATAACAGTTGGAAAACCTATGGCAAAAGGTAAGGATATCAATTGTAAAAGATTAATGAATGAATGGGAATCCATAGTTTTTATCTGCTTAATAGTCGCTCGCGTGGAGAAGTGGTTAGAGCTTCTGCTCTAGGATCGCGAAGTAAGGAGTTGACCCTTACGTCGCGGGTTCGAATCCCACTGTGGGACGTGGAGACCGGTCCATCGGATGAGACAGTATAAACCGTATATATTTTCATATAAAAGGTGCTGACAGGAAAAAGATCCCTCACTGCTCAATAACCCTAAGTGCCGAGCATAGGACAAAATTTGTAGCTCTCCACCGGCAAGTGGTGGCGTCTCCATATGAGTGAAAAATTCACGAGAAGCACGTTAAACTGCATATTATCAATCAATATGTCTGGAATAGCATGATTAATTAATGATTACTATCTACCTTGTATTTTGATGTAGCAATAATAAGAAAAAAGACGGTATTTGCATTATGTTATGAGCAAAATTATGATGTAGTTAACTATTGTAAAATTAAGTCATGCGATTTATTTAAAATACCCCCAAAACATAATGTCCCTTTAAAATAGTAAGATTTGCAGGAGCCTTTCTTTCTACAGTCATTGATTGCAATATTTTATCTTGAATTTCTCTAGGTTTAGTTCGAATCTGACCTTTTGTAATAATATTTTGAAAAATTTGTTTTTATGTACATGTGTACTTTCAAAGTGAACTATTGCTTAAATTCAAGAAATCACATTTGGTTTTTCCAACCTACAGGATAAGAATTGATACAGATCTTAATTGATGATTTTAAAAATCTAAGAAATGAGCATTTTTATTCAACAGAAATCACCGAGGAACAAAATGATTTTGGGCGTGTACTGCTTAATTCCCCTTAAGCAAGCACTTTAAGTTTTTGATTCTGAAAATCAATGGCGTCCCTTCCAGAGGATGAATCTCTATTGAAATCACTATGTGAAATGCATCGAAACAGTCCCGATGGGGCTTCTCCAGAGGAATCTTTAAACCAACAACCTGCTATTGATCCTGAATCAAAGTCATCGAAACCAGGAGTTTGCAGCTGTTACATGTATAATAGATGTGCTTCAAAAAGTCAGCCTCTATCGACGAGCTCAGAGTCTTTGGAGGACAGCATACCGGCAATATACCGATCAGCGTCGTTTTCTAATTTCTTCAACTCTCCAAGAAGTTCCTCTACAATCTGTAAGTGTCTATTATGGCTAGTTTACTATAATATTTACGGAGAGGCTTATCCTAGCCGCGTACAAGATTGTCTCTGTTAATATATACTAATCAAAATTTCTAAGTCCACAGGTAAGTTTATTTATTATTAGATTTTGCTGCTGGAAAAGCTCTCACTCTCCGGTCCGTCTTGTCCCATTCATGTTCTATAGGGTTGAGATGTGGATGACATTGAAGCTTACCGAAATTGTTTGTACCGGACAATATTAAGCCTACAGTGAGGTCTCCTTACATGCATTCCCCACTCTTCCAGTTTGTTTCTTATAATTTGGATAATTAAGGAGACTTCAATTAATTTTTGATAAGTGCAGAGTAATTGCACATGCACTTAGGTTCCTTCAAAACAGTGAATAATCTTTATGCAGTATCCCTGTTGTGTCGTCGCAGTACGTGCATACGCCTTGACCTTGGGCACTTCCGGTTCCGGTTTCAGTGAATTTCCGGATAAACCCTAGGATGGTTTAGTAGTATATGTTGAAAATATAGCGATTTTTAATGATTGTAAAGAATTCAAGTAAGCTTTGTTCATCTTTCTGACGGTATTTTTAAAGGTTTTAAGTAAAAAAAAAAACAAATACAGGTGAAGGAAATACAACTCTCCTTTAATGCTACAAGCGTGGACCATGTCAACTTCATTTGCACATTGTTGTGCGGACATACACGGCATTTTTATGAAGCCTTTTTCTGTTTTTCGTAAACAGCTTAAGATGGAGAACACATGGAAATTTAAATAAATGAAAGATACACCAGAAAACATAATTATGAAACTCTCACTTTATGCTTTTTAACAAAAACGGTCATGGTTGAGTAATTACACATTCGATTACAAATTTTTGGCCGTAACACGTAAGCATTGAAAAAAGGCAAAATTATAAGCAACTTGTTAATTGATTTTAAGGTTTTTAAATAGTACTTAAAATAATAAAAGTGGGGAAATAGAAAGTTTGACAAGTATATATATTTTTTCAAATGGTATTTAATCATTGTAGATACAAGAAATCCAATTATTTATTTGACATTTTCCGATGAAAGTAAGAGGCATACACTTGAAATGTGTTCACTTTGTACAGAACTCAGCGATTCCCTTGAGTATTCTGTGAAAATTGATTCTTATAAAGCGCTTCGAAGAGCAGGAGAACTGAATATTCATAGTTGGAGAGACACAAATTACAAAAGAGCTAAATGGATACTGTTCTGTATTTCACCGCAATATAAAAACGCATTAAAAGCAGGAGAAGATAACCGTCCAGTAGTTGAGATAAAAGAACAAGAGCAAGGCATTATCTACATTCATAATATTGCAAGGGCGGAGTTTCTGCAAAATGGGAGCAAAAACCATAGAATGATACCGGTTCTTTTCACCAAAACTAAGGCATCTACAGATGATATTCCGGAATTTTTAAGATCTTCGGCATTTTTCTGGTTTCCAGATCAGAAAGAGGATTTATATCAATTTTTAAGTACACACAGAAATGACAGTCTGTAAAACAAAAGCCTTTACATGTATATTTGTAAATACCTATTTTGAGATTGGAAGAAAAAGTTGAAAGCATATACAGTTATAAATATAATAGAGCCTATTTGTATAAACCACAAACGGAGGTTAAGGCAGCAGCTAGATCATTTTTCCGCCAATGAACACTTCAATAATTATTGTAAAATCCACAATTAAGGGAAAATCAAATATTAAATTTATTATATATTTCAATTTATTGTCCTTTAAATAGTCCTGAATGAGTCTCGGGTAAATTGTTTTATTCGAAAAAATGTCAATAAAAAAGTTTCAGCTAATCCTTCATCCAACAATCGACTATTTGAATTTAATGTCTTTAAAGACCTCTTATCAAGGTACATGTAGGATGTGGCACAATAATAATCTCTCACTAATCATTTGTTCCTAGTGCCAAAAAAAGGCATATAGCTGTAGATTTAAAGATCTTTACCGGTATATAGTGAACCTATATACTGGTGAAAAATTTCGAATGGAAGGTTAAACAAAATATAAACAATCTTGTTACAGAATTAATTATTCCATAATTTTGCATGAAATAATTTGTACATAGTATTGAATAAAGTTCATCAATTCCTATTCATCACACGATGTTAGCAGCACATTCAAAGTACAGTGTACATTAAAATAAGGAAATATTTGTTATTTCAAAGTATGCCGTGTAATGTTGAACTTAAGCATCTTTGTTGGTCAGAAATACAGAGCAAAAACAAAACTAAGCCAATTTTATTTTTAAAAAATTAGGATAGTAATTCAGCTAACTAATTTCTCTCCATTTATTTTTAAAGAATCACTCATGATATTTACATGTAGAATATATTCTTCATATCTCTCATTTCATAATTTTTTAACATGAATTACTGGAGGATTGCTATTTTTATTATCACTCAGTATGCACACTTATTTGATCAACTGTTATGATTTTATGTGTTAAGTATTTTACCCTTATGACAACACTTCAGTACAATGACAAAGGTTTAACTAATATTTGTTTTGTATGTTAGTATTTAATTTTAGCACTTATATTAATCTTTAAACATGAATAAAAAATGTTATCTCAGTCTATAGTTCATGTTATTTATGAAAGCATGTAAAGAAGAAAACACTTGCTGTATTGTGGCCTTCAACTTGACATTTGGATATATAGACGACGATGTATTGTCAATAAACAATGTTTATTTCCAAACTTATGTCGAGACGATATATCCCGGTGAGCTTGAGATGAAAGATGCCACAGAGTCTGACACATCTGTGCCATATTTTGATATTTTACTTGAAAAAGACGTTAATGAAACATGCAACAATTCAAAATGGGAGCAGGGATAAAAAGGACCCCCAAAACATAGGAGGTGGATCAGATTTCATGGAGGAGTGAGCATCTCCTGCCGACCGGTCCCACCCGCCGTGTGTTCCTTGACACGATCGGAAAATAACGAGAAAATCCGTCGTCAATTCAGTGTATAAATAATGGTCTAACAATTACTATGAAAAACGTCAGTAGGCATTTGACTCAATGATACCTTGAATTTGCTGACAAGGTCATTACATCGACCATAGATTTTACAAATGATGACTTTAAACGAGATTGCTGGTATTTTTGATTCATCAACTTATTTGTCAATAATTTACCCCGTTTTAGAAATTGTACATAACGTAGAGCATGCTCTTGTGTACCGAATCAACTGCAAACTCCATATGCAAGTGATGAAGGTATATTGCTGCTGGAAAGGAAGCTGACGATTGAAAAGTTAGTCAACACGTTTATCATAGAGCTTTGGTGTTAGATTGCTATTAACATCTAACAACAAAGCTTTATGATAAACTTGATAAGTTTACAATCGTCAACTTCCATATGCCTTAACATACTATTCGTAATGTACATAAAATATATGTACAAATTGTGACAGGCTATTGATAAAAACTTTTCAAAGGTATTTAGAAGTAAATATCTCGGCAACCTTTATGACTCCTGGTCACAATGTTTGAATTACATTGATCTATAAAAGGTAATCCAGTTCTAAAAGCAGTTTACGATGCAACATTGTCCTCTTGTCATAAAAGAGTATGTATATTTACATGTACTGTTTCATTGTGTGCGATATGGGTTTGCACTTAATTTTCACTGGTTTCATGTTTGCACATTTTCAAATGTTGACCTTAATGAAGCTTCACATTCCTTTCACTGTTTAATTGTACCGAAGTCCAGATCGGAGAAAATTCTTATTCACAACTCAGTTTTCGAATCATTTACTGAGGTGAAAATGAAAAGTGTGTGTAAGGAGGAGAATAATTCTCTACATAAAGTATAACCAATTTTCGGTAAACTTGATTTTTTTTTTTACAGACATTAAATCATGAAGACTGAGAAACGTCAATTTGCAAATTGATAACAAAAAATACTCAACCAAAATTATACATCCTATTTTATTGGGCGGAGGACTTGGACCCTTGACAAACATGTTGATTCCTTTTTTTCTAAATTCTGGAACTTGCCATTGTTTGTTCTTACATCAACAAAAAGCCGAGGAAACCTGCAACTAAATGCAAATTGATTAAAACAAAAAATAGTTCTTCATGAAAATTCCCTTTATAAAACTTTTTACATCCAAAAATTATTATGGAATATTTTGATAGACAAGGAATATGAACAATGTCACAGACCAAATTGTAATTAAGGTACAGATACCTCATATATATATTTTAAAAGAGAGGTGTGAATGCAACCTAAATTAAAAATAATATATTTATTTGAATTCACGTGAAAAAGAAATCAAAACAAAGGAAAGGACAAAATAATGCTTTTAATCGAGTTTGACACACAGGGTCGGCATATTTTATATTTTTACATCATTATATCAATGCAATGAAAGTTCAACAGGTAGATCTTTTTTCCAATGGGCAAAAAATGAGATAATTTTTCACTCAGTGTTATTTTTTTATGCCTAGATATTAATTGAGCTGTCGTTTGAAAGAAATTTCTAAATTGTACATTTAATAAATAAAAATGAATATAATGTGCGAATTTAATTAATCTCTCTTAATATATTTAGAATTTTGATTCTTTATCACCGTCATTTTCTCTGAGAAATTAAATAACAAGATAACGCTTTTTCTAATTATCTACATCGATTTAATTCTGTCAGTAACGGTATATCCGAGGTCATGATTTATCATCTGATGGACTGTTGAATACTTGGCAACAGAAATATAACCTGGGTGGGATAGAAAAATTTGTTACCTGTATACATACAAAAGCAATCTACTTCGACTTTGTGCATTGGCCTACGTGCAGTATGTCCAGGTTGCAATGGCATGTCAAAAATAAGATCTAGGACACTGCCATGGAGTGTACTCATGCATGGGGTCTTACATATTCTGTATTTCACAATGTATGTATAAATAGCAAAAACGAACTAAAAAAAGTAATATGAATATCTTTAAGATGTTCAATGATGCATTTGCTTATATTTTATTATAAAAAGATATAATGAATCCTTAATGTCAGTTGTATTGATGGAATAAAATGAATGGTCATGCTATTATCGCTAGAAAAGTGGGAGGGTATATACTGATCGGGATGTCCGTCCGTCCGTTGCGCTTTGGGGTACCCGTCTCTTTTAAGAATTTAATGAGACATTCACAGAATCTTTGTTATATAATGCCATCGTGCTCCTCCTATTTTACTTTTTGATGTGACACTTATTTCGGGCCTCTGAGAGCAAAATATGAACTTTGCCATAATAATCATATGGGAGGAGGGGGGGTCATTTAGTGAGGTCAGTGCTCTATATGTAATTTGTAATTAAAAATGATATAGATCAACACTTTATGTTATGTAATGCTATATATTTTTAAAGATCATCATAACATTAATTAAATTGTGTGGGTTTATTTTTTATATACACAGCACAATTACAACCTCAGGGGTTACCTTATGAAAAAACTAACAGCTACATTGCAGATTCAATAGCCATATATATGATAAATGGTAACTGTTTTTGAAAAGTTTGCTATGTGTTGTGCATATAAAAGAAACTGTAATGTTTTCTGAAAATTTAATTAATATCTTGTATCCCAAGTCGAAGTTTTATATGGGAAAGAGCACGTTCAAGCCGATTACAAACTTGATTGTTCGAATTTCACTGTGTGTCGTGGAGACCGGTCCTTCAGTTGAGACCGTATAAACCAAGGTCTCGTGTCACAGTAGGTGCTGGCACGAAAAAGATCCCACACTGCTTAATGGCCCTAAGTGCCCCGAGTATAGGTCAAAATTTGCAGCTTTTTTCACTAGCAATTCCTTTCAATATTCATTTTTAAAGCTTCGAATACTATATTTCCTTCATATTGAGGGGGGTAAAGCCTTTCAATGAACATTTTCAATAGTAAAAGTATTGTTGGCAAAAAAAGTGCCCCCCCCCCTGTTGCTACGTCCCTGCAACATTAAACCATGGCAATCATAAGACTATTTTATTTAAAATTAATAAAAAAAAATTAAGGGAGGTCAAAATGTGACAGATAATTGTGATATCGAATAAGATATTGATAATATATTGATAACAACGTATCATTCTATTTTTACATACTTCATTTGATAGCCTCTTCCTATGATTCGTTTATCTTGTTCTAAATGTTTAACACATACATTTATACAAGAATAAGGCGATGATGATTATTCTGATTAAAACAAAACTGGACATAAAGGTTTAAAACAAAGACAAAGCATTTTTTAGCCGATCAGAACTCGTCGGAGAGAGAATGCCATCGATAGCATACCCTGAACAAAAGTTGAACAACAGTTCATGATAAATATGGATGTAAAATATAATGTTTTTTCATTATTGCCCCCAAAATTATTATTTTTCTAAAAATATATTTAGAATCTTAAAGCGATTTAAAATTAAAGTTTCACAGACTCTTTTCCGATGATTAAATTAATGGCAATGTTTGTTGATACATTATGTGTATTTTTGTTTAAATGTTTAACATATACATTTATACAAGTAAAAGGCGATGATAATTATTAAAAACTGAATTAAATAAGCTGTTTTATTAAAGAACTTAAATACTTATGGAAATTACAAAGCAATTTTTATTAAATTTGAAATCGATGGACAGAGAGAATGCATAGTTCGTGTACCGAATGTAGGTCATTATCAAATTTCAATATCGCAAGGGCATAAAGTTGAAATTAGAAATTCAACTATTAATTGTTTTCACTTTGTATGAAAAGTATGCTGCTTTGTAAGAACATTTTAATAGTTAAATTTTCAGGTAAATAGACCAAAATTATTTTTAAAAAATATTTTGTGTACTTATAAAATCTCGATTTAAAGAAAGCAGCAGCACTTTTCAAGTTAACGAAAACATCCTTTATCTATATTCAAAAAATGGTTAAGATCTATTCAATGTATGCCCTTGCGAAAATACGATTTTACGTGGCATCTCGATGTAAAATATATGTAACCTGTACATAAAAATACGACATAATTAATAAAATACATTCTCTTCATGGGTAATGAATAATCGCACTAAATAAAGGATATACATTGGTATTAATCGACTATTAAAAACCTTTGAATAATTTTCCGTTTAATAGTAAAAGGCATTTTTCATTGTTAAAAAATTCCTCAATCTGCCTCTCAAAGTACATGGAATACGTCATTTTTACAAAAATGACGTCATGTTTACAAGTTCATCCTGATCAGTGCTTTCTTTATAAGCAGCTACATGGGAGTTAACTAGCAACTTTTTTTTTTAGTGCATTGATAAGTTTTATTGCTGTTTATTATGCTAATACAGTTAAAAATGGCATATTATTTATTTCAAAGAACTTAAAATATATTTTTGTGTGACGTCACAGTAAACTTTTCTCGAAAATAGGCCCCGCTATTTCTATATAACACAATTTTATTCTTTTTAAGGTAATTCACATAAATAAGGAAGTGATGTACCAAGTGCTGTTGAACCATGATATAATTCGTAATTCAAAAAAATCATGGTTTTCCAAGATGATAAGTATTTCAAACTTGATATCTTGATCAAGTGTCATTCTGGTCATACAACTTGAATTTTATATCATTCTGTAAAAGGGGTATGATATGTTTATACCTTTAATTTCTAACACGACATGAAAATAATGCATCTAATAACAATATATACACAATGTGTAATAGTCAAGTCTATAACTAATAAAGGGGTAATATACAGATATATTCACAGAAACATAACAAATAAGTGCAGAGAAAATTATTTTTTTTTCTTTTTCTGTTCAGAAGCAGAAGACATGTATTTTTAAATGTCGATTAAAACACATAGTACGAATGCACCTAACAAAGCAAATTATCAGAGTTGTGAAATAAAAAAAAAGTTTATTTAGTTATTCGCATGTAATACAAGTGTTAAATAGCCCTATTACAGAGAGAGGGCATGACTTGGTAAACTGTTTTCTTATATTCTTTGAAATCTCTTCTTTACAAAGTCATTCCTCTTTGCATTGGAAAAGTCTTGATATGCATGTTCAATCAAAAATAGTTTATGATAAAAAGTTTAAATCTTTATGTAATTTCCTCATTCTTCTCTTAATTGTTCATAAGGATACTAGGTATACTAGACAAAGTAATACTTCAGAAATAATTAATTGCTGTTATTGTCGAGTGAATATGAGATTTCTTTTTTAAGGATGCATTTGTATATTTACTACAGTGATTTATTTTTTTTTTTTTACATTTACCTAACTAAACTATGATGTGATCATGCTGATGACTTGTTTCAATCATTCATTAAACTTGTTCATAATTCCATCGGCTTAGAAATACATTTGCTCTCGATTTTGAAACAAAGTAAGTGCTCTCTATTAATCTTTATTGATTTTTTTAAATTCATGTACGTGTTACAATATTGAAAATTAATTGTCATTTTATATATGAACAATAGTTTTAGGAAAAGATAACACCATGAACACTGGCATTTTACTATGGATATACATGTATCTCTTAATAGATGCAAGAAACTAGAAATACTGTGAGCACTGAGCTCACTAAATCATACCCCCGCCTCCAATATGGTTATAATGGCAAAGTCCATTGTTGCATTGGGAGACCCAAAATAAGTGTCAAATCAAAAAAGTAAAATAGAAGATACACAGTGGTATTATGTAAAAAAGAATCTATGAGAGCATCATTTAATTTTATTCAGTGGTATAGGAGGAGTTGCAGATAAGAGATGGGTGCCCTTCAATATTATAGAAGAATGGCCGTGTCATTGCCTTGCTCTTGGAAACCAAAAATATGTGTCCTATCAAAATCTAAAAATGAGGTGCATAATGGCACTTTGTAACAAAGGTTTTGTGAAAGTCTCATTAAATTTCATTCAGTGATATAAGAGGATTTACGGATAAGATATCCCTAACAACAAAATACTGTAGTAAACTACATGTATAGTTTACTATAGTTAATTTTACTAAATCAGTGTCAAAGTTATCACTATAGTAAATCAAAGTTTTCAAAGTTTTCACTAAAGTGTCAACGTGTTCACTATAGTAAATAAAAGTTTTCAAAGTGTTCACTATAGTGTCAAAGTTATCACTATATTAAATCAAAGTTTCAAAGTTATTACCATGCATAGTAAATCAAAGTTTTCCATAGCAAAACAAAGTTTCTCATAGTAAATCAAAGTTTCTATAGTGATCACCATGGCCATTCAAAGTTTTCATAGTTATCACTATAGTAAATCAAAGTGTCAAAGTGTTCACTATAGTAAATCAAAGTTTTCATAGTGTCCAAGTGTTCACTATAGTGAAATATAGTAAACTATAGTTAACTTTAGTATTTTTTTTGTTAGGGAAGAGGTACCCTGAAGCGTAACAGATGGACAGACGTACAGACAGACGGACGGAAGGACCTCCCGACTATTATATACTCGGTACCCTCCAATTTTTCAATCGGGGGTATAATAAGCTGTTTAATCGTAATGAGGCAAAAATATGACTGTTTTTGTGTTAAGTGCTGTCTTTTTATCACAATTTGACTGTGTTTCAAAAACAGTTAAAACGTTCACAAAAGAACATTTAACTCCATTCATAAAATATAATCTTGGCATATCGTCAACATTTTTCGGCTGATATCTCGTAAAGTGGGGTGAACAGTAGGGTGACGTGAGGTGTATCTAAATTTAGACTATTACCTGTATTTCAAAGAAATGTGTTTGGTCATATCAGCTGCGAAACATGGACCCAGGAGATCAAGGTAAGCATGGTTCTTCTGTTAGATGGACAATGAACATGTTTATTTGTTTCTGTTGCTGTTTAATTAATATGAACATGTTATATTGATATTGATTTTAAATTCGTTTATATAGCACCCATACTTTTTAGGTCATAGAATAAAGCATGTCAAAATTTATATAAACCTGTCAACAAATATAATTATTACTTTGTGCCTTCTTATTTGATGAAAAAAAAAATCAATTGAGTGCGCATTAGTAGTATGTTCATTAAAAAAATTCATTATGTATTTTATGCCCCGAAATAATTTGCTTTTTAATATAGGTCATGCAAATCTTTCAAATGTTCCCATTCAACTGATGACCCTTTAAAGTCAATTTATAAAAGCCATTCAGGTTTTGCTTAATTTTGTAAAACTGGTTGATAACTCTATAAAATCTTAGAAGCATTAGCATCAATTTACAGTAAATACACATCTACACTACCTTTCGTATACACTACATTTACCACGTAAATATTGCTTGGCGTAAAACAATATATAATCAATCAATGCACACTACCTTTCGATCTTCAATAAGTCGTCGAAGTCTGTTTCATTGATAAACTGTCCCCGTTCTTTGTTATTGCATTTAGAAAATTTGATGTTTTTGCAAATATAGTGGTTTTGAGAATCATATGGATATTTCATACATATACGGTGAAGGATTTGGTATAAAAATGTTTGTTCATCTTGCCCTGTGTAGACTTACAGATGGTTGTTTTATTCAATAGGAAATAGATGTAGAGCAAGCGAGAACAGGTGTGACTGTAGAGACTGTAAACCTCACCATTCCCTTGAACCTTACAATACATACACTGGCTCTGAAATTCCCTCTTCTTATTCCCATCTTCATCCTGATTATCCTGATCCAACATTGGAACAAGGGTGTTGTACCTGTTATAAGTATAAGACTTCCACTGCAAAAAGCCAACCCCTACTAACTACATCAGACTGCTCAAGGGAAATCACCAGGTCTCGGACTTGGTCATTTTCTAGTTTTTACAGCAATCCCAGAAGATCGACGATAACCGGTATGTAAATAAATGGTTTCCAAAAACATTTATTTGTTATCAGGAATATAATTAACGCAGAGAAAAACTTTAAGACGATATTGCAGATTTTTCTTTTTATTTTTCTTAATCTATGCAGCAAATAGAATAAGGCCTACTTATAGGATATACGTGTTATTTATTGTGTGTTATTCTAATGTTTCAGATGGAAGAAAGCCAATTATTTATTTGACATTTTCTGATAAAAGTAGGAGACACACACTTGATATTAGGAAATTGTGTGAAGAATTGAAGCATTCTCTTGAGTTTTCTGTGAAATGTGATAATTATACTGCCTTAAGAAAAGTAGGAGAACTAAATATTTATAGTTGGAGAGACAAAAACTACGAAGAAGCTAAATGGATACTGTTCTGTATTTCTCCGGAATACAGTAACGCATTGAAAGCAGGCGAGTGCAATAATCCAGTGGCTGAAATAGATGAACAAGAACAAGGCATCATCTACATTCATAACATTGCAAGAGCAGAGTTTCAGCAAAATGGCAGCAAAAACTTTCGAATGATACCTTTAATTTTTACAAAGACTAAGGCATCTAAGGAGAATGTTCCGAAATTTCTAAAATCCTCTCCGTATTTTTTGTTTCCAGAAGATAAAGAGGATTTGTTTCAGTTATTAAGTCCACAAAGACAGCAATGACAGTTAGTTAAAGAAATGAAATTTTACATCACTCTGATTCAGAAACAATCGCACATTTTTCGTTCACAAAGGAGTTTTTTAACTTGTTCTTTTAAATAAAAATGTCAATTTTATTGGATTTGTTTTTGCTACAAAAGCTCTAAAAATTCTAATAATAAATGTTCTAAAATTCTGAATGCTTAAGATATGTGTTATTTATTGATGTTTGCATGTTTCTTTATAAATAGGACTGTGCTATATAAAATAAGAAACATTTATATATACACAAATCCACAAAATTTTAGTTCTCTATATAGAGAAATGTAAAAAATAAAGTATTTTTGTTTCATATTAAAAAAATAATTTTCCACATTTTTGGATATTCTAATGTCCTATGAATGAACAAGCGAACACGAACTCTACTTGTGTCTATGGTCAGGTGAAAGCTAAATTACCTTAACATGGATGACCCCACCTTTTCCATCCTCAATAAACTCCCAATTTATGTTTAAATTTCTCAATATCATATCACCTGCATATTGAATTTAATCATTTTCAAATCGAAAAAGCACAAAGGCAGATTTTTGAGAAAAAAATTGATATTGAATAGCTTTCTTTAATTTCCATTGAAGTAAGAATTTCACAAGAAACCTTTTAGCACATATATTGTATTTTGTATGTATGATATGTTTCCTATCAATTCTAATGTTATTGATTAAAACCACTACTGACTACGGATTACTTCATCTACATGACTATAAAAGAGAGATCAGGTGTGGCCGGTCGACATGAGGTGTTTAATATTCCAATAGTGCACCTGATATTCAACCTCTGGTGTTTCCAAAAGTCCGTGTTTTGGTTTTTTCATGATTTTTATTGAATAAAGGATTCATGAAATATACGGAGATAACATACAGTATTCAAGCTCAAAAGTCCATTTTACTATACAAAATAGGATAAGAGCTAGCACAGATCTCAAAATCATCAGAGGTGGGATCAGGTGCCGTGAAGGAGTGAACATTCCCTGCCGACCGGTCACACTAGCCGTGTGCTCTTGGTCATGATTGGGAAGTAAAGGGAAAAATTCGTCGACAATTCAGTGTGTAAATAATGGTCTAACAATAAGTATGACAAATGTCACTCAGTATTTGACTTAATGATAAATTGTATTTGCCGACAAGGTCATTGTATCGATCACAGAAGTTACGAAATGATAACTTTAAATGAGACTATTGTGATTGACCGCTTCTTGATATTTTCACTTTTGGTACTAGACCTTATTGTTGAAGGTGATATGGCGAATGAGATGTTTTGTGTACTTGCTTCACTAAGGATGATTTAAAAGATATGCTTATTTGTAAGATTGTAAAATATCCAGCTTGTTTTATTTTAAAACATTCAATGATTTATATTTTTAAGTATTTAGGAGCTGCATAAGGGCATACTGTATTTCCGTTTTTGTTCTAACCTGAAGAAACATTTAAAACGCACATTTACTTTTCCAAATTGAAAGCAAGATGTGTTTGTGAAACACCGATGCTCCGTATATGGTAGCTTTTATTAAGGGTTGAATGTGCATACAACGAATGAAAGTCAAACTCCAAGGTTAAGAAAGGTGTGTCACAAGAAATATACATGTGAAATTTGAAAAAAATTGTATTAACTGTTAAAAAGATATGGCCAAGGAAACAGTTTTATGAAGTGGGCCAAACTCTAAGGTCACGTTCAACGGGTCAGAAATATTTATAGTCTTTTAAAGGTCTTCTCACAATGAATATTCATGTGAAGTATTAAAGCAAACAAGCAGGTACTAGTAATCAGGCAAACAGACGTGCGGACAGAACAAAAACGCATACGCCCGAATCCTCGATTACAGGGACAGAAAAATAGCGAACTTGTTTATAATGATAATAACTGAAGCGGTAAAGTGGCAGTCTACACTAAATCAACGTGATTAAGGCATATATTTTATTTTTAAAACATCAATTAACAAAAAAGTCGTATTTGTATTGAATTGATTGGCTTTTAAAACTACAAGATTTTTTCATGAAATAAGTAGTAAAAAAAGTAAAGTACGGGTTGTTATCTTGGACCAGGACTTACAGGACTTCACTGTTTATTCATTTGCAATTCAGTATAATTAATGGAGATGATTTATTTGCATCTAATTGCAGTTTAGTAGTTATAGGATAACATTTTTGCATTCCTATTTTGCTACATACGACTTCTTCAGGCAGTATTAAAATTACTTTGGACAAGTTAAGTTTTTCCGCTTTTCTTTTTAAAAAAATACCACACTGTAAACCAATGAAAATGTAAAAGAATAAGAAAAGAGAGTATATTCTTCCTAAATAAATTTACCTTTATTAAAAAATTCTTTTTATAGGGTTTAATACTCTGGATATCCTATTATTAGAAATAACCCTTATCGAAATACGTAGCAGAGGTCATTCAGTTTGAGTTTACATCAGATACCTTGTAAAAAATTGTATGTAAAAACGTGAAATTAATTCTACTCCTAACATTTGGAATACATTTATAGGTTTATTCTTTTAAGAGCTAAAATGTTTCATTCTCAATGTATCAGTTTGAAACCAACCCGCAACGATTTTGACTACTGATAGAATATTTTCTATGATCTTTAAGTAAAATAAATGATTCGCAGCGATTTATATTCGCCAGCTGAGATCACCAAATTTGCAGAAATGTCTCACGCGCCAATAGAAGTTGGTTTATAGTATTTCATATGTATGTATGAAATTATTTAAAGGTTAAATTTCGTTGTCTTTTGAAACCAATTGATTTATTTATATCATAGGCGTTGGAACCGGGGGGGGGGGGCTTACTTTTTTTTTTGGTTGGTTTAGCCTGCCCACTTTCAATTAGCCCGTCCTTCGATTTGCTTCCGACGCCCAAGTATATTTAAAAAGATAATATAGTGTTAAAACCCGTTTGCGAATCGCTCGGGTGTTAAAGTTGCCAAGATAAGAGTACGTCACAGGTGACCCAAAATAAACACGGTTTCGGTATGACCACGTGACTACGTTTTAACCTGTTTATAAACAAGGACAGGGTATTATGTCTGACATAGGACTTTTCACCAAATCTGACATGGACAGGATGCATTTGGACCAAGTCATGTCTGCAAAAGGACCTTCCAGTAATTTTGGTACGGACAATTGCGACATATATAGTCTGATAACTTTCTTTCTTAATTTTTTCAGTTGCATTACGTAAATTCTACATTTTGATTTCAGATCATTCGTGCTCTTGCCAAGACTGCCAAAATTATCTAAAACAAATAGGAAATTTTGATTATGTGAAAGGTGATGACATACATTGGGGTCAATGTAAAAACAGTTCATTTCATGAAACTTCAGTTGAAAGTAACATTAAACAAAACTTATGTAAATCAGATTCGAAAGACTGCAAGTCATGCTTGATGCCTAACAAATGGCCATCTCTTCCGAATTCACTTTTTGAATCTAAACATGAAGATGGTTTCAAACCAACAGAGGATAGCTCAAGAAGCTTGCCAAAGTCGAAGAATTCTCTTGTCAAAGGAAATGTTTCATTGAGCACTGGACATTTACCAAACCGGCTTATTGATTTTGAAACTTTGGAAGACAACCCACACAGCTCTCATAGTGCGGTTCAATTAAGCAGTAATATACCCCTCTGTAAGTACTTATTCAGTACATATTAACAATGATAAAAATATTAACATTCTTTTCGTATTTAATCATCTTTCAATATCAGGTCTTTAGGTATCTACAATGATAATTCTTTTATTTCTTTTCAGGCATTTGCAATGACAATCCAATTGTTTACGTAACGTTTGCTCCTGGAAGCAAGAGGCATGAACAAGAAGTTGCTGATTTGTGTGAGATATGTGATGGAGCCGGGTTTACCGTCAAATGTGACAGTGACAGGACTCTAATGGAGAACGGGGAGCTGAATGTTAATCAATGGCGGGATATCAACTTCCAGCGGGCTGCGTGCATTTTGTTCTGCATTTCACCAGCTTATAATGGAATGGTTAAACTGCTGGAGGAAGATAACATAGCCATAGCAGAAGAAAATGATCGTTTCAAGGGAGCTTTGTACATTTTTAATTTAGCTCGAGCTGAGCTTGTTGACTCTTACTCAATTGATAGGAGATTTTTTTGTGTTTTGTTCACGAACTCAGCGGGGAAGCTGGAAGTTCCGAGGTGCTTTACACCTTATGCAAAGTTTAAATTTCCTGGAGAGTCCCAAATCCTTGTCAGTGCAATACAAAATCGTTATATACGCAATCAAAGGAGATTGTAGTTAAATTTACTTGTGCTTTGTTTCGGATGATAAAAATGTTTCTTATTTTTGTCATAAGAATAAACATATATATGATTGCATATACTGTTAGACACATTCTTTTTGAATGTCATTAGTCTCCTATGGGGGTTTTAAATGTTGCAAATTTCAATTGCATTAAATTTGGATAAAGAGAGATAATTCTTTTTAACAATGTGCTTTTAAATACGGTATGGCATTTAGCAATACTAAATACGAATTTCCAGGGAATTCCAATTGTTATATTTAAATGTGCGTCATTGGGTGGGTATCTGTTCAAGTGTACTCTTTCAAAAAGTGGTATGTACAGTGTATACAGAAAAGTCTCTTTAAGTAGGTTTATAAAAAAATAAAAATTACCTGTTTAGACAGAAAACATTGTTTAAAGAGGTATTTTGTATTCATTTTATGCTTTATAGCTACTTAATTCAGATTTTTAGATTTAAAACTTTTGGTATAGTTTGTTTTTATTTCCAGTCATGGTGATTATACATCACTATTTCATAAGCATTGTTCATTTGAAAAATAGCAATGTTAAAAAGTTCACAGGGACATGAACTTTGCTGGTCAAATTATCACATCCTTTGAAGTCCGAAGAATTTCTCTGCAGATGTGATCGTGTATGAACTTAATTTGTCGTAAAAGGCATTTAGAGTAGCGGGCGTCAAATTAGACACTTTTTCGACACGAATGATTTGTGTTAATAAATTTTCTAAATTAAATGTTTTTTCTCTTAAACATTAAAACCTTATCCAAATAAAGGCTTTTGGAGAAAAAATTTAAAGAGACATTAGTCTTTTTAAAGATTTTAGTTGATAGCTAGGTATAAATTTTTAAGGTACTTAGGTAAAATAAAGAGGGAACTGTTTATGTGATAGGAAAAATGGCAAGGCTCCTCATATACATTTGCTATTAAAAGATTGTATATCAGTAGGTAGTAGTATTCAAAAATATATTACGTATGCATCGTTAAATATTATCAGTTTTGACTGTTTTATAATGCATTTTTGTGTGCCAAAATAAAAATGTTAAAAATCAATATTTTTCATCAATTGCAACTTATGAAATTCATATTTTGTTTTAAGCAATTGTTTGAACTGTAAAAACAATTATGATAGGTAATTACTTTTAAAGTAGATCAGACTTTTTGTCAATAAAAATGGATTCTAGCGACCTTTTAGAAGTCTACAATTTGTTAGAGGACTTAGTTTCCGAAAATTAGGTTTACAAATGTTGTTAATGCCGAAATCTAGCATCCTTTTTATGTCAACTAGAGTATCTGTGCGTAAAATCAGAGTGATTTTAACGAAGTGTGTAATTTTGTCGAAGACTCATCACAACATGTAAATTTCTGAGTTCCGCTTTTATTGACGAAGCGGTTGTAAATCAAAAAGTCTTGTTTTTTTTTTTTAGTTATTGTGAGGCATGGTAATAAAAAAAATGTACAAATTTAAAGTGGATTTATCGGAGTTTTTGAAGAACCACATCTGATTTACATCAATTCTAGAATAAGCTGCAGGACAGAACGTCTGCGCTTCTCCTTAACAGTAAATATCATTTTGGTAAGAAAAGAAGTATAGAAAGTGTACGATAGAGTTTTTAATGAATCCGGTAATATATCTTTGTTTGTTTGGAATTTCATACGAATTTTTTAAGAACACAGAAAAGGTAGGATGGATAAAACTCATTTTGGATTGGTGAAATTTTAAACGTATGAATTACTGAAATGTGATTTTGATGCATTTCATCTCTGGAAAGTGGATTGAGAGTATGTGTATAGGTCTTCCAGACCTAGAATTAACACCAAATTCTTCCAGAATGCGTTACAAACAAAGACGATATTGTTACCAGACTTGTCTTCTGGCACCATTACACATTTTTCATGTAGTCTCTCTAAAAAGATGTTTCAAACAGGACTGTAGTAGAGAGAAGAAAAAAAATGTTTTGGATTTTCAATATCTAGGTTCTGTAGGATTTGTTTGCAATTGAAAATTTTGGAAGCAACAATACAAGTATCTGCAGGAAATGCGAGGTGTAGACTTCAACATGAAATATAAAGGAATGCAAGATATTCCTGTTTGGTTTTTATTTTCGAAAAGAGTAGCTAAGTTCCTTTCTGCAACGCTTTTCATCTGAGGTTTAATTGATGCAGTTTTTAAGAGTCTGTAATACTTAGAACTTTTAATTATAGAAAGCTGATTATAAGCTTATGTACAATAAATATTTTTGATGATTGATTAATATTATGGCCAATCTTTTTTATCCTTAAAAAAATGTGAATTAAAAGTAATGAAATTAAAGTTTCTTGAAATACACTCATTATTAAGTTGTGATATATTCCATATATCTTTATTTTTATGTTGGTTTAAAAAAGTTATTAAAAAACTTTTTAATCTACTCCTATTTTGTATTTTGGTATGGACATTTGAGCTTGAATACTATTCGTTAACTCCATATATTTCACCAAAGTTCTTGTAACAATTCTCTCTCAGGCGGTAATGGAATGATACAATGTTGTCAGTAACTGTATTTTCAAAGGCCTGACTCATTCTTTGATACACTGAATACCTGACAACAACCGTTACCCGGAGAGCGTTGAATCTTTTGAACCTGTTACTTTTCCATTTACATGTATCTATACAATCTATTTCGAAGTTGTGAAGTGGTGTTATGCGCTTGGTACCCTGGTCACAATGGCATGCCAGAAGATTATGCAGGATCTGGGATTTCCGCGGGTATTGAATACACATTGAGACATAAATTGACCAGACCGTCTAAAACATGCAGGAAGGTACTATAAAAACAGATTTGAACATATCCAGTAAAATTTGTTGTGAGTGATATGTCAAGAATAGGTTAAAATATACCTGTCAGGTGTTAATGTAATATGTATAAGTAGTGGTTTTTGATTATTAGATGATCAAACAGTTCTATGCCAATTATTTCTTTAGTATTCAGCAATACAGTGCTTTATAATACGCAGTAAAAAAAAATTACATGTAAGAAATACATGGAGATAACGAACAGTATTCAAGCTCAAAAGTTCATAAAATACAAAATAGGAGCGGAGCAAACACGCCTCCAAAAGCTAAGAGGAATCAGGTGCCGTGGAGGAGGGAGCATTCCCTGCCAACTGGTCACATCCGCTGTATGCTCTTTGTCATGTTCGGTAAATAAAAATTCATAAAGATTAATTCAGGATCATGGCAGAAATACAAAAGTTCTCTACGTGCAGGTGCACCCAGTTTGTATTAGGTTTTTGTGCGTACGACGAGGTTTGTGTGACATTTTTTTATTTTTTTTTTGTGTGTGTGTGTGTGTGATATCATTAAGCTCCTGTCTTAAACATGCACTACGGTGTAATTTCGATATCACAGAAATTCATATCAGTATAAATCTATCACGATTTCATGGTCGTACCTCTGTATGTTAATTTTTTTTATAAAAAAAATGTTGGGTACGCAATAAATATTACATTGATATAGAGAATAAAACTGCAAAAAAGAAACTGTTGTTAAATATTTTAAAAGTAAGATAAAGCTTACTCTTAACGTACATATTAGCTTGATCTGTTCCAGCTGAGGATAAAAACACTGGGTAGGAAGGCATGAAGTTATAATACTTTTTTTAAATAAAAAAAATTGATTCCTGGAATCAAAATTTTATGAAGTTATAATACGTTATAGTTTTAATGCATTAGTAATTAGTTTTAAAAAAAATTGATTCCTGGAGATTTTGGATGTCAAAAGTTTGCTTTGGACCCTTGGTTACTGTATATCTATTTTATAATTGTCATTTACACGCTAAGAAATACATCTGTGATTGTGACGTGATAGTGAGTCACTTCGTCAAAAAATGAAGTTAAAGAAAATAAAATTAGTAAAAGCGTGCGTTATATTTTTTATATTTTTCCACAGAGCACAATCTCAAAATATTATTATATTAATTAGTTTTAATGTAAGAGATCAGAAACTTACATAGGTGTCCGTCGTCCGTCCGTCTGTCTGTCTGTAAACAATTTTTCAAAACGCTATCCTACAGTTTTGGAAGATTTTAATATTTTGGCACACAAGTAGAATACACTAAGATTCATAAAATAGTGCATCGGTTTTTGATTTCGATGAACGGTGTTGCCATGGTTACTAAAAATAGAATTTTCTGTGAAATTCCTTTGAAATGCTATCCTACAGTTTTTTATTTAATATGTGGCACAAAAACACACTAAGATACATAAAATAGTGCATCAGTTTTTGATTTCGATGAACGGTGTTGCCATGGTTACTAAAAATAGAATTTTCTGTGAAATTCCTTTTAAACGCTACTCCTTCTACAAAACTGATTTCAATATAACTTGGCACACAAGAAAATAAAACATAAAAAAGCTCGGTTTTTGATTTATATATTTTATGTTTTTTCTGTGAAATTTCTTTAAAACACAACTTCTTCTACAGTTTTGGTCAAAATATGCTATCCTTTTTTTATATTACCAGTAGCTACATCGACAGAGACTTTTTGATATTGACAATTGAAAAGCATTCTTTACTTTTTGACCGTTGAATGTGCTCATCTTTTCATTCTGTGCTGAAGGTAGTCAAATGCGGGTTTCTTTCTGTGAAATTCAATAACATTGTTATTGCAATTTCACCTATCCTGGCTAAACTCTTAAAGAAAACCTTGTAATCGAAAATAAAAAATAAAGTTCTTTATACTACATGGGATAATTGCTTCATGTTCAGGGTTAAAATGTATAAAGTGAACCTAGTTCTTTTAACATGTATCTTGAAAATATAACCTACAATTCAAATACACCTTACTATATACTCAGGTACTCAAATTTGCAACTAAACACTGTAGATTATCAAAAGGTGGAATCAAAAAGAAAATCCTTTAATCATGCATAATTAATACCTATGTTTCACTATATCTCTAGTTTCAAGTGTTTCAAATCTCAAGTTCATATTTTTATGGTTTTTTTCTTTTATTCTTTTTTCAGTCTATTTACTGATGCAACGGTCGTGTATCTTCATTTTATAAATATAGCAACTCTTTTTAGTCATTTTTGTGGTTGCTAATTAGATTAGTTTAAAGTCTGAAAAACGTATAAAACGTGTATAGTTTAAGATATTGTCTTTTAATTGGAGAGTTCGATTAAAAGATAGAGGTAACGTCATGGACTACTAGTACTGTTTGTGCTGTACATGTTTTCACATTTACTACTGAAATGCTAACAAGTATGTTAACCAAAATAGCACATAGAAATTTGTCCCAACATATGAATTGTAAATTCTTCGGCTTATTTATAAAAATGATGTTCTCCTTTACGTAATTTGTTAAAACACATCTTCGATGAATGTTAACCGTCGCCTTTTTTCTGTGGAAAATGTAGTTTAAAGTTTTAAAAAAAACCTGAAGGTGGAACAATTGCTTTTCCAAGAGCTAAAAGCCTAAAATATCTTTTCATACGAGATACATGAATTCATTGTTTCCTTGTATCCGTTGCAATTGGTTTTTAGGTCGGTCCTATGATGTATTTAAATTTAGACTATTATCGTTAAGTCAAAAAATGTTAATTAATTTGGTCATAAAAACTACAAAACATGGACTGTGAACAAGAACGTAAGCATGCAAATATTAAAGATCTATATTTGTAAAGCTTCATCATTGTTCAAATGATCTATCTATTTATTTTTAGTTTTATGGGGGACATATCCTAATATTTTTGCATTAACTGAATAGAATTGGGATTGCCGTTCACTTAGTTTGATGCAACGATAATAAGCATAAAATTAGTTTGCATTCTTTTCAATGAAACAAAATCACGAATCCTTTTATATATGAAATATATTTATTTCAATAACCAGAAGTCTCTGTCGAGACTGTAGCTCTACTGGTTTATACTTAAAACAAAGGAAGAGAAAAGTAGCAGTTGGGACTTGAGACTTTAAATCAGCAATAAATTTTTGCATCAAAATAAAAACCAATGCACAGAATTATGTAAGTATAGTCTACTTGTGTGCCAAGTGATATGAAATCAGACCAAATCTGTAGGAGGAGTAGCATTTTGAAAGAATTTCACAGAAATTTCTATTTTTAGTCACCAGGCAACACCGTTCATCGAAATAAAAAACTGATGCACAGAATTATGTATCTTAGTGTAGTCTACTTGTGTGCCAAGTTATAATGAAATTGGACCAAAACTGTAGGCGGAGTAGCATTTTGAAAGAATTTCACAGAAATTTCTATTTTTAGTAACCACGGCAACATTGAAATCAAAAAAATGCACAGAATTACTACTTGTGTGCCAGGTTATACTGAAATCGGACCAAATCTGTAGGAGGAGTAGCATTTTGAAAGAATTTCAAATAGGCAACACCGTTCATCGAAATCAAAAACCGATGCACAAAATTATGTTTATTGTGTGATATGAAAAATTACACTAAACTGAAATTATAAGCTCTTCTGGTCTTTAAATATTTCAGAAATTAGCCCTTTTAGGGAAATTTAACATGGAATTTCCATTTATATGTATTTTTGGATTGTATTACCTCATTCTTTGATTGGTTGTAATTTGTCGTCACGTGTTCAGTGCTCAGTACTATTTAAACAATTTTTTCTACCATTAGAGTTTTTTGATGTGCGAAGTTTAGTTTTTTAGATAATTTCTGAAAACATTTAAAAGGTTCGCGTGTTTGTTAGTTTTGTTATACTTCGACAACAATACCCGGGGCTTGACTATGGCAAGTAAGTAATAGGAATTGCTCTCTAGTGTTGCAAAGCATACAATATTGCAAAAAAAAAAATTTAGTCTTATCTAGTATCATATTATGTCATTTAATATTATTGTGTTATTTCATTTTTTTTTTCAGATGCAGGACAGCCAATTGTTTATTTGACATTTTCTAATAAAAGTAAGAGACACGCACATGAGATTTTTAAATTGTGTGAAGAATTGGAGGATTCTCTGTATTTTTCTGTGAAATGTGATACATTTAATTATAATGCCCTCCAAAATCCAGAACTGATAAATTTCAATGGCTGGAGAGACCAGATTTACGAAAAAGCTAGATGGATATTCTTTCGTATTTCGCCAGAATATAGCAACACTTTAAAAGCAGGAGAGGGCAACATTCCAATGGCTCAAATAAATGAACACGATCAAGGCATTATCTATATTCATAATGTTGCAAAGGCGGAGTTTCGGCAAAATAGCATCAGAGACCATCGATTGATACCGTTGCTGTTTACAAAAACTAATGCCTCTGTTCATGATATTCCACCCTTTTTACGATCTTCGCCATATTTCTGGTTTCCAGAACAAAAAAAGGATTTATTTAATTTTTTAAGAACCTAAGGTATCCATTTAAAGTATCAATTGAAAAGCATTTTATAACTTGGTGCGTTTTTGCATTATGACAGAAATTTGAAGACATACACGAGAATTAAGTCCGTGTTTGTATTTAACACTTTTTCAGTCCGTGTTTGTATTTAACACTTTTTCAAAATACTTTTTCAATTCAAAATATTTGACCACAATCATGATAATGTGTATATTTTTTTGTGTTCGTGAAATCGGATCTAAAAGACTATTATAAAAGTGATGAATCTTAAAATTAGGAAAACCCTAAATATATAACACAGCATGATTTATATAAACGTCATGTTTGTTTTCAAACATAGTGTTGTGACATAATAAATGTGGTACACTAAATTATCTATATGTTTAATATTACTTATATTAACCTTGTGGATAACATTACTTAAACTTACGTTTCATATTATTAACATAAATAGGGAAAATTAAGGGGGCGTTTAATAATCATAAATAGACCTTTATAAAAAATAAATTAATAATTAAATTTTATATCAAATTGTCTTTGTAATAAATTGTATTTGCTAACAAGGTCATGGTATCGTGCTTAGACCGTGTATGGTAATAAAAAGTTTGGAAGCAATAATTGATGTAGATTTGTAGAACATACAGGTTGTAGACTTCAATTTAAAATATTTATATTACGTGATTAATATTACTTATATAAACCTTTTATAATATTATGACAGGGTGTTTTATAATCATAAAGAGATTTTATTTTACAAAAGAAATTGATAATTAAATTTTTTAATGACCACATGAACATCATAAAAGAATAAAAATATTTTTAGTATTATATTAAAACTGTGACAACTGAAAATTTATAACAAATAAGGAAAGTTCACAAACGATTCAGAAACATCTTCAGAGAGAAAGTGATTCCCAGTTATAAGTGAACAAGACAGCTAACACATATATTTGCTGTCAGGGGAATGTTGTACCAAAACTGTATGTAACTGATCTCAAAAACACCTCATTTAGAACACGTTTTCAGCATAAGAAAAAGAAAACTACCTCCTACTCCTAGTTATTGTATGTAATTTTTTTTTCATCTTCTTTGTGTAAAAATTGTTGAATTTGCAATAAAATTTATAAACGTGTTCTGTTGAAAAATGTTCAATTTAAATATTCAAATAAAGCATGCCAAGATGAGACAGACTAGCAATTTAATATTTTTATATAAGAAAAAAAATATTGAAGATTATGAAACACATCATTTAATAACATTTTTGAAACTTGTGAATCAAATCTTTCAGAAATAATTTATATCTATTCCTTTAATGAAATACCATTGGATAACATGCTTTTTCCACGTATAACTTATTTTGGTAAGATTTTTTTTAAAAGTTTTTAACAATTTAATCTAAGGCAAAATAATGAATAGAAATAAAATTGGTTTTATGTTATATGGTTTGTAATAATCATATTTTTAATAACAATTTTGATTTTAAAAATTTTTTTGTGAAACGGGCTGATTTTCCATATTTTGGTCAATGTGTCCTTTGCAAAGATATGCTCTAATACTTTAATTACAAAAGGTTTTAAACAAAGATTTTAAAAGCAAAATATAAATTTAATTAATTGCTTGCATTAATGTAAATAAAATGATGATGTGATAAGCTGATAAAAAGATAACTCCATTCAATTAGAATAAACTGTTACTTAACAAAAGCAAAAAAAATACTTAATACTGTGGTTCAAAGTGTAGGTCCACTTTAAAAAAGAACTTAAGTCTAAGTGTTGAATTAAACTCTGCATAACAACCTTATTAACATTATACATGTATTATGTCTCCTACATAGATTGGGCACAAAAAAAATGACTTTTTATGCCTCTGCCACATCAGGACAAAAGAAACATTTAATTTCCATTGCACTGGTCAATGTTACATAGTGAAACAAACACAAATTCATGTTTAGAAAAAAAAAGCATGGACAAAATACACACAGTTGAACATAATGTACTATCTGCATCAGCAACAAGGTACAAGCAATCAGATGTAACCAATTCCAAAGTTTGATAATCAAGGCTGATAAAAGAAGTATGAAATCTAACATGGCATATGCCTATTTATGGGTCATGTTCAGCTTCAACTTTAAATATCATAAAATTGTACTTTAATATAGACATTAAAAAATATATCTTTCATTAATAATAATTCCTAATAAGCAACAAGATAGGAATATAAATCTCAAAAGGTACCATTCAGCTAAAATGTTTAGTGTGTACATTTTTAGATATTTTTTGTGAAAAGGCCCTTCAAAAAATTGTCTACATATTGCTTTCAAAAGCTGAGTAGTAATTATACATAGTTTGAAAACTATGATTAAATACTTACGCAAGTGAGTTAAGGCTAAATATGGATATTTCTATGCAAATGAGCTGATAAAAATTCATAAGTTGTATATTTTATGTACAGAGAAAGTTCAAATTGAATACATACAAACAGGTTTTAAACATAAGACATCATTGTTCTCTCCCATTCAAGGTAATAAATCATATCAAAAAAATCACGTCGGCACAAGGGCATGTCCTATCTAATTTAAAATAAACAATGTATAATATTAAGGAGAATATTATTAAAATTAATAAAATTGCTGCACAAATCCTATGGACTTTCTCAATCGATAAAAATTTTAGGAAACATACACTGGACTGTGAATTTTTACCCTGCTTAAACTTAAAACTGCACGGATAGTAACGAAACAACTGTAGTGCCGACATTTGTGCAGCAGTATCGTAAATCCTTTTATTACACACTTAGTAATAAATACAGGTTTTTTGCATATGCGATAGACGTGAGCATGACAAAAATGGATTTGCGGGGCTGATATCCGTATCAGCCCTGCAAAAAAATGGATGATACGGCTATTGTGACCAATATCACACCCTTAGTAAATTAAACCTAAAAACAGTACTTGTGATCATACACAATTGTTGGTGCATTCATATTCTCTTAATTTTAACTTTTTGAAAATAAGGTTAATCTTAATTTACAAATACATGTAGTATATACTATAGAATATTTTCAAATGACGGATCAAGTGCGTTGAAATAAAAGTGGAAACAAACCCAAATCTTATGAGACATTAGACTAAAATCATGATAACAAAATGTGTTCTGTATTTTATTACTAAGTATGTAAAACATACCCTTTTCCAACACAATGTACTAATAGCCCTCGGGCCTTCGGCCCTCTGGCTCGGGCTGATACAGGATGTGATATGGAAAAGGGTATGTATTATTCTCTATGGAATATCCTGCGTCTTTTTATATCTTGCTTCTGTAAAACAAAGAAAGGTGTGCCCTTGCGCTGAAGCGATTTCGTTGATGTTTCTTATAAACTTGTGTAGTAAAGCTCGATGACGTCATAATATGACGTCATAATGTGTACTGGCTATTGCATGTCGTGGGTACCAAGAATGTATATAACTTTTTCTGTGCAGTAGGTAGAGCAATAATGGAATTTAATTAGATATTTTGCATAGAAACCTCCATTTGTAGCCTTAACTCACTTGCGTAAATACATATCAAAATGTACATTTTGTCTTTAACTTTGCCTTTGAAGTCTTTTTTCTTTTCATTTCATTAATTTTTATAAATCAGAGTTGTCTATGAACAAAATTTAGACTAATATAGCCTAAAACTGCGAACAAAAAACTTTTATTGGTGAACGTTTTTAAATTAAAAATTCAAGAACGGACTCAAAAAGCATGCTTTTCTATTCCCCCAAACACAAAGTGTTCCCAGATGGTAGATTATTTTCCTGCATCGCAATATGTACAAATTAGGGATGTCAAATCGGTCAAAAGTTACCACGTTTTTCAGTACCCGGGCGGTAAAAGTGTAAATAAATATGAACAAGTAAATTATATATTTTTGACGTATAAATCAAACCACTTGCTCTGATAGGAGGTTTAAACGTAAAAAAATTTCTGTTGTAACCCTTCCGATGAAATTTTAAAAATTTATGTTCAATTTATTTATCAGATAAACACAAGAAATAAAATTTGGTTCATGGTGTTTTTGTTAAAAAAAAATAATCCACTACGTAATTGTAATGTAACTCTTTGTTGCATTTACGTCAAGGTATATATCAGACAGTCGTACAGTTTGACTTGAAATATAATTTTTCTTAACAGAGCCGATTTACGATTTTTTTTTTCGATCTAGATTTTGTAGTTGCCGGTATTTTGTAATTCTATGATTGACATCATTTTTTTAAGCCTTTGCCGTCAACTATTTGTACATGTATTGGCATGTAATGAAACACAACCAAATTAACAGTTGCGCATGTTTTAGAATTCACGGCTTCTCAGAGAAATGACAAAATATCTAATTTATTTAATCATAACAGACATTAAAAGATGCAGTGAAAACAAAAAAATGAAAATCAAAAAATAATAGAAGACAGCCAAAGGTGAGAAAAGCCAGGTAAAGGTTTTTAATTACTGTTAAAATCATTTAGAGGAGTAGGAAACCCTAATTACTGTATGTACAAGTGCAATGAGTATTTTACATTTTAAAACAGATTGTTTAATGCATTAATAATTAAGCTTGAGAATATTCAAAAATATACATCCGAGTAACCGAAAACACAAAGTGTTCCCAGATGACAGAATTGTTTCCTGTATTACCATATGTACAAATGCTATGCATTATCACAGATAGGGAAAAAAAATATATATATACATACCGTAATTAAATGCTGGAAATTTTTTTTTAAATGCAAATGAAACAAAAATTCTTAAATGTGCAAGGGACTTTACACATTTTTACACAATAAAACTAAATCATTTTATAAGAAAGACTTATAATTACCCAGTTACTATACTTTTAAAATTATTAATAAATTTAAGTCACTGCATCTTGTGAATCTGTTTCTTTATCTAAAGCCCATTCATCTTCTGACACATCTTCATCCTCCTCAGCACCTAGTGCCTTTCTACAAATTTCTACCCCCGTGTCCACAATCATATAAGGCAGAGAATCCCCCTCCTCATCAGATACTTCCACATTAGTAGAGGAGGGACCAGACAGAGCTGAAGACACATTAGGTTCAGTCATATTTTCTTGAAAATTTTTATTTGGAAACACATTTACTTGTTCACTACAATTTAAACTTGTAGTAGTTTTCTGTTCTTGTGGTGATTTTTCTTTTCTGAATATCAGTTTTAGAGAATGGCTATTGTTAGTGGGTGAGAAGGAGCAAGTCATTGAAGGGAGCTCCTCAAGATTATCACAGTTATAAGCCCTCTGGTTGGATTTATCACAAAATGATGAATTAGCACTATGACTGTAACTTCTGGTTAGTTCTGGCTTTGAACTAAATGGATCTGTATTAATTTCTATGTTACTTAATGTCCTTGACCTATGGTACTGTTTTGGAGTATTAACAATTGAGCCAGATGCAAAATAATTTTGGTTTTGTTCTGATCTCTGGTTCTGAAGACACTCCGTCTTGTAATCCTCCAAGATCCTTCTCCAGAGTTGATCTTGATCTGGATTGGCATCTGGAATATTTGAAGGTGAACTTCTATTCCCCTTGTCATGAGTAGAAACTTTTCCTATGACATACACTTCAGGGTCAGAAAATACTGGTTTTATCTGAGATTCTTCTATCACACATTCTTGGTTAGAGGTCTGAAGAACCTGAATTCTTCCTTCTTGATATGCTGCTGTAGAAGTTGACAAATTGATATTACCAATTTCCTGATTAGGAGAAAGGAAAGTAGAAATGGTATGCTCACTTTGAAGAGCATTAATTTGCTTCTTGTTTTCAGTATCATCAGAAACAAACCCAACGGGTATTGCATACAGTGGTAAATCCCTATTACTTTGCAAATATGATTTTTCTAATTGCTGACTCTTCAAGTCCCCTGTTTTTAAGGAAGAAACTTCTGTATGTGTTACTTCTTGCTCTTTGCTAATTTCTATATGATTTGCTTGAATGGTTACAGTCTCATTAGAATTGGATAAAGAAAAATCATGAGAGTTCGGTTGAGTTACTGAAGACTCATTAGAACAAAAACTGAAATGAATATCCACAACTTCACTTGCTTTAACCTGAGGACCAGGTATCAGATGAATGTTGTTATTTACTGTATTATCCTGGGTAACAAATGCAGGTATTTGATCAGTTTTAGAAGCAGGAGGTTGAATAGTGTTGTAGTCTTCAAGAAATTCATAAACCTCTTTAGGTATTGATATATCCCCTGGTACTTTACGGCTTGTGCTTACAGCCTCGTCTACTGAGTGTCCTTCAACCAAAGCTGAACTATCATCACAGAAATGAAGCCTATGCGATCCATCATCTTCAAAAACTACCTTATTTTCTAACTCTGTTGCAGCTTCCTTCAACTCATCATTGATGCTTTTGGGAACATTTATGACATCAATCCCCATGGTATATTCACTAGACTCAGCTGTGTTATTCATGACAATTATCTGCATTCCATCTTTCTGATCTGTTTCACCTTCTTGCTCCTTTTCCTTGTATCTCTTAGGAGTCTCATTGAAATGACTCTCTTGAGGTTTTGGTTTTGTTGATGGAAAGATTCCGAGAGTCTTTGCAATAATCTGAAGAAGATCTCTCCCATTTTCTGGACTAACTGAATCTAGCTCAGGTGGTTTTCTTATGACTACATCATCGTCTGCATATGTTAATATCTCTTCATTTGAAGGAATTGTAAAAGTTGGTTTGTTGTGTTCTAAGTTCTTTGGGTCAATTGGTTTTGGATACACAATTACTTCTTCTACAACGTTTGAAGTATTTCTTTTTTCACTGCTAGGATGAGTTAAATGTTTGATTTGTTTTTCTTCAGGATAATTAATGTTATTTGAATTGCAAACTGCTTTTGAATCTCTTGAAACATTTTCCAGACTTTCAAATAAATTTTTCCTTCCTGAATTTTGTTTCTGGTTCAAGGGTTTAGGGTTTGGAACATTTTTATGCTTATTTTCTAACCTCTTCAGGCATTTTAGGATGAAAGAAGACCTTGGATACATGATTTTGTCTGTAGCTGTTGGAATATCAGTCTGCAATCCCACTGTCACACTGTATGATGGTTTTGTAGAATCTTCTTTTGATTTGGTCTTTGTGAATTCTGATTCATCTGAAAATGTGTCACCTGATACTTCTATTGCATCCAAGAAATGTCTTTCACAAAGAGTTTTGTTTGGAGATTTAAGGGGTGAAATGGATTCAGTTGCAGTTAATTTTTCAGATGAATTCTCAAATTTGCTGGGGGTGCGCAGTTTTGAATTTTGATCAGTCAGTTGAGATTTTTCTGAATTACTTTCATTTTCAAAATTATTCTCCTTATTGAGTTCATTAGGGTTATTGACATGATCCTTCATAGACATCTTGGTATTGTTTAAGTTAACATCCTCAGATTCATCTAAAGTTGGGCATTCCAAGTCCGCTACTGCACTATCTTCCTCAACACTAAAACAACCTCTATTCAACTCTTCTACAGTAGTCAAAACAGGGGGTTCTATATCATGATTAATTTCATCCCTCAATATGTATATATCCTCCTGTATTCTGCCAGCTGCATCAACTACCTTCTCCAAAACTGGGGGTTCATCTTCAACAGAATGCACTTCTTCCTCTTCTAAAACATCCTGTACAACCCCAGATTCATTCTCTTTCAAAACATGTTTGATGAGAGACTTCGGAGTTTTGTAATCTGTTGATAAATGAGCTCTTGCAATGAGACCTAAATGAAAGAAATGCTGTTCTTTCTCATCCAGAGAGTCGTACTGTACTAAAACATCCAGACTTGCCTTTCTGTGGTCACTACTTCTTGTAATGCAGAAGTTAAAGTCATACATTGATTTCCTTCTCGTCTTCAACTTTCCTTTCTTGTCCTTTCTGTAATCTAACCTGGTGTCTGAAAACCTTCTATTAATAAGAGTGATCATTTTTGGCTTATTTGGGGCTGGTTTCTGTTTCTTCTTTTTCTTTGTTTGTACAGGCACTGGTTTTTCTAGTCTCTTTGGCCTTAACACTTTCTGTGTGAGATTCCTTGTCAGTCTTATCATACATGGGACTTTATTGTGTTTACGCAGCAGCTCAGTTGTTTTGAATTGCTTATCACAAACTCGACACTTTGGAATTCGTTCAGTTCTGGGTTTCTTCTTCATTACTTTCACTTCAGAAACAGACTTCACATACTTTTCAGTCGTATTTTCCTCGGAAGAAATTTGAGCATCAGATTTCAATTTATGGTCTTTTTCTTCATTTTGTACTTCTTTCTGAAATTCAGAATTATTCTTTTCCATTTCTTGAATGTTAGATGTTTCATTGTTTGATTTTTGTCTGCCACATGATATATGGTTGTTCACTGCTCCTGAAGTTACATGCTCTAATTGAGATCCAAAAACTTGTTCATTATTCTGGAAATTTAAATGTTCTTTTGATTTTGGTTGAATTTCTCCATTACTGGTAATAGTGGCAAGTCCATTTACTTCAGTATTGAGTCTCAAAGTTTCAGAGGCATTAGAATAATTTCTGTTTTCAGTAATGGTGCCTTGTTCACTTACAACTGCTTGCTCACTTTCTGCAGAATGTTTAAGTTCAACAACATTAGAAACAGAAGAAAAACTTAACTCTGGTGCTATGTTTGCATCACATTTAGTCGCTGTATCAGCAATGTTTGAATTACATGAATCTTTTTGGTTTTGTTCCTCAACTGGATTTTGCTCATTCAAATCTTCACCAATGACCTACTCAAAGAGAAAATGAAATTTTACCACAACATTTATTTCATTTGGTTAAAAGTCAGGAAGTCAGACAATATCATAATCATGCTTGTAATTAACATTTTCTAATATGGCTAAATTACTACCCATTGTGGTTTCATTATATGTTGTAAAACATCATATTAGTATAGGAAATCATTTCTTTTCATTTCTGCACAGTCACCCTATGAGAAAATGAGTATAAACAGATACCTGTGAAATGAGATCAAACTCATCCACTGGATTTCCAGTTTTCGGCACCACCTCACTGGCTGTGTCAGAAGAGAGCACCACCGTGACTGTCACACCATCACTACTCACTAGGCGGACTTCACTGGGAATAACGCTTGGGTTTACACTTGGTATAACACTCGGCAGAACACTGGGATTAATGCTAGTTGTGTTATGCTCCTCCTGAGTGACCATAGTCTGTCACAAAAAATATATAAATAAATGAATATATAATTAAGCCAAGGCCTTCAAACAACTTAAGATTTCTTTAATTCAAGAAAATTTTAAAAATCACATGTGTATAAAAATGTCAAAAAGTTTACCTATAATTAAATGCTATTGGGAAAATATAAGAATATTTTTTATTAAGTATAAAGGGGTGGAAATCGTTAACGTTGCACATTAAAAAAAATATTTTATTCTAGGTATTAACTGAGATGTCTAAAAAAAACAAGAGGCCCATGGGCCTTATAGGTCACCTGAGCATCATGCAACAACTTTCAAATGATTGAATTTGTTTCATGTTTTAAGCTAGATGTTAAGGCATTCACAATTTTGGAAGAGGCACTCTTGCTCAACATAACTGTGTACTTAGTTAGTTTATTTAAAACCTAGGAGCAGAGAAGAAGATTTTCAAAGATTTAATGCATTTTCACTATATAATCAATAGAGCCCCGTCATAACACCAGAACCCCTGACCCTGGGGCCATAAAATTCACAATTTTGGTAGAGGCACTCTTGCTCATCATAACTATGTACTTAGTTAGTTTATTTAAAACCTAGGTGCAGAGAAGAAGATTTTCAAAGATTTAATGCATTTTCACTATATAATCAATAGAGCCCCGCCCTAACACCAGAACCCCTGACCCTGGGGCCATGAGTTTCACAATTTTGGTAGAGGCACTCTTGTTCATCATAACTATTTACTTAGTTAGTTTATTTAAAACCTAGGAGCAGAGAAGAAGATTTTCAAAGATTAAATACATTTTCACTATATAAACAATAGAGCCCTGCCCTAACACCAGAACCCCTGACCCTGGGGCCATGAATTTCACAATTTTGGTGAAGGCACTCTTGCTCATCATAATTATTTACTGAATTAGTATATTTAATGCCTAGGAGCAGAGAAGAAAATTTTCAAAGATTTAATGCATTTTCATTATATAATCAATATAGAGCCCCGCCCTTACACCAGAACCCCTGACCCTGGGGCCATAAAATTCACAATTTATGAAGAGACACTCTTGTTCATCATAACTATTTACTTAGATAGTTTATTTAAAACCTAGGAGCAGAGAAGAAGATTTTCAAAGATTAAATACATTTTCACTATATAAACAATAGAGCCCTGCCCTAACACCAGAACCCCTGACCCTGGGGCCATGAATTTCACAATTTTGGTGAAGGCACTCTTGCTCATCATAATTATTTACTGAATTAGTATATTTAATGCCTAGGAGCAGAGAAGAAAATTTTCAAAGATTTAATGCATTTTCATTATATAATCAATATAGAGCCCCGCCCTTACACCAGAACCCCTGACCCTGGGGCCATAAAATTCACAATTTATGAAAAGACACTCTTGTTCATCATAACTATTTACTTAGTTAGTTTATTTAAAACCTAGGAGCAGAGAAGAAGATTTTCAAAGATTAAATACATTTTCACTATATAAACAATAGAGCCCTGCCCTAACACCAGAACCCCTGACCCTGGGGCCATGAATTTCACAATTTTGGTGAAGTCACTCTTGCTCATCATAATTATTTACTGAATTAGTGTATTTAATGCCTAGGAGCAGAGAAGAAGATTTTCAAAGATTTAATGCATTTTCATTATATAATCAATATAGAGGCTGACCTAACACCAGAACCCCTGACCCTGGGGCCATAAAATTCACAATTTATGAAGAGACACTCTTGCTCATCATAACTATGTGCTTAATTAGTTTATTTAATACTCAGGAACAGAGAAGAAGATTTTCAAAGAAATAATGCATTTTCACTATATAATCAATAGAGCCCCTCCCTAACACCAGAACCCCTCACCCTGGGGCCATAAAATTCACAAATTTGGTAGAGCCACTCTTGCTCATCATAACTATGAACTTAATTTGTTTATTTAATACCCAGGGGCAGAGAAGAAGATTTTTAAAGACTTACTGCATTTTCACTATATAATCAATAGAGCCCCTCCCTAACACCAGAACCCCTGACCCTGGGGCCATGAATTTCACAAATTTGGTAGAGGACTCAATGCTGATTACAATCATACCAACAGTTTGACTGCTTGATGTCCGGGAGTAAAGAAGAAGATTTTTAAAGATTGCACTATTTTTAGTGGTTTTTGCCCCACCCCCCAGGCCCCAGGGGGGCGGGGACCACGAAATTCACAATTTTTGTTCCCCTTCACCCATAGATGCTATATGCCAAATTTGGTTGAAATTGGTTCAGTGGTTTCAGAGAAGAAGCTGAAAATGTTTAAATGTTAACGCACGACGGACGACGGACGACAGACGACGGACGACGACGGACAAAAACGGATAGCAATAGGTCACCTGAGTTTACTCAGGTGACCTAAAAAAAATTTCATTCCCATAATTTTGACTAAATAACTAATTCAGAATCCCATTCTTGTCCTGTAGAAGTGCTTTTGTCCGTGTGGTTTTAATTTACGCTATGTACCCGATCACACATTTTCTGTGGAAATTTGTCCAAGCGTAATTAATATAAATGCAAGGCATATAGTGACAGTCTGAGAAATCTGCGTAATTTTCAACCCGCGGATTAAACGGTAATTGAAATTCCGCAGAATTATGACCCCGTGGAAATAAGTATGTCTACAGTAATACAAATTTTTGCATTATAATAGTTGCAGAAAGCTTCTTTAGAGACCCCAATTGTTTAACCAAGCCTGAAATGTTCTTAACAAGAAATCATTCGATCAACTTTGCATACCTGTGGCTGAAAGGTTTCAACTATGCCAACTGTTGACAGCATGTACTCTTCAGTGGCTGAGCCTCCCGGGGTGTCATTTTTGCAGATTTCAGATGAAGCCGGCTGTTTGCCATTCTCAATGTTAATTGGTCCATGAAGTGTGCTCTGGGCATGGTTTACAAATGCTTCTGTTTTAAAAAAAGTAATTCTTATGTGGTATGAAAACATTAAGTAAGGCTATCTAAATTTAATTCTCTGGTCCTCAGGCCAATTTTCTCCAAAACAGATGCAGAAGGGTGACATTTTATTTATCATTTAATTGGCAATAAAGAAGATGAGGGAGGTATTTTTTAATTGAATTTTTTAATTTTCTTTAAAATAAAGATAATCCTTTTTATTCACAGATATACTTTCCATTTCTGTTCAGAGGGTTTGCTTTATCAATTGCTTATCAACATGAGAACATTGAAGGCAATGTCTTCGAAAGTATTCTCAAACGAAGTAGTCAAAATCTCTTTGCAAATGGCTACCGGAAGTGATATTTGAGTACTAAACTACAAAAAAATTAGGACCGAACTTTTTTTCCGGATTGATCTCCGCAATACCAACTTTTTATTTTATCAAAAATACAATAAAATTAGCAATGTGGCTACCTCCAAAACTGATGCGCCTGGGCCTGAGAACCAGAATTTCAATTTTAGGTAGCCTAAATATGAAGGGAGGGAAGCTATAGTAATCTGAATTAAGTCTGACCTTGCCCAGCTGAGGTCAAGATGATTTCCTGAGAAGGTAGTTGGTTATACTCCTCTGTTGTGAGGTTAATGGGAGGAGTGTGGAGACTACGATCCTCATCAATAGGGGGCGTGGAGGACACCTGCTCAACTCGCACTACATGCATCTGTTACAAAAAAAATGGAGTAAACTTTAACAATATCATATCATGAGGTATAACCTCTTTAAAAAGAAAAGAAACAGACCATGTAGATAATGCTTCGATTATTACGAATAAAAATTTAAGTCAAAATCCATCTAACATCTCTTTGCTCTTTACAAGTTTACATGAATTTGATGTATGAATATGCAGACATTTGAAGTGAAATATTTCTATGTACATATTTCAATCAACAACCTATTGCTCACCTTCAATCAGCAATTACCGTATAAGTAGAATTTTTAGCGAGGATTTAATTTTGGCATTATTAGCGAGGGTCCTGAGATAGCGAAAATATAATATCGCTAAAAATATATTGCGTTGTAGTTGTTATATCTTCTTAAGTGACCATTTTATAATTGCTGAAATTGCTTCTCGCTAAAATCAAAATACCGATTTTTAAGGTCAAATCGCTAAATTTGCGTCTCGCTAAAATTTCCACTTATACGGTATCTCTTTTGAGATGAACAAATACTTACACAGATATTGCCATTCACTGATAAAACATACCTGTAGCAATTGGCCTCAAGAAAAAGAGTTTTGATAGTGTGATAGATTGTGAGAAGTATAGATCACACACACTTGGCTAACAAAGCCATTTAACAAACAAAAAAATCAATATTGTAATACACTGTTACACTTCATCTAATTTGTACATTTATTAAACTTAGATGTATGCATCATGTAAAAACATCAGAGGTAAGTAGATACACCTGCATTTATCTATTTTGGTAATCCCCTTATTTTATATATAGATCATTCATATCAATATTAATATGCTCACCCCCTCTGATCCCTCTATGGAGGAGTAGTTAGGAAACCCAGGCCCTCCGTATTCTTCCATACTACACAACACTGGTTCCCCCTGGTTATACAACCAGTCTGGATTACCCCCGTCTGGTATCACCTCAGTCTCAACATCTACAAGACAGAATACAGTTGAGCTTCGGTATCTTGAACAATGATTTTTTGAATACCGAAGATATGTGGAAGTTAGTTGAGTTGAGAGAGGTGCCTATCTTTTCTACTTTATGTATTTCAACCATAAATTAAGAAGTTTAAAAATCACACTTTGTCAAGACTGACAGAAATATACCGGTAATAGAGAGAAGTACAGTTACTTTCATAAATGCAGAAAACTCAGGTTTTATTACACAATCCAAAGTATTTCTTGATAAACTAAATAAACATATACTGACTCTGTAGCTGCTGTGCCTGCTGCCTTTGTTGCTCTTGCTGCTGCTTGTGCAAAGTCTGAGCTGCTTTCAGCAAGGACTCGATTTGATTGGTGGCAATTTCATCCCCCTTTGCATCCCTTAGCTGCTGGAGTTGATGCTCAAAGTTCTCATATTCTGGATTGGGTTGGCCCAGTGGCTGGGATTTCGGAACAAAGGGCTTGTTACATGGCTGTTTGACATGCTCTTTCATCTCCTCCAGAGTAGAGAAGACAGATTTACAAATGAGGCAGTTGAGAGGGTTTTCTTTCTTCTGTCGTTTTTTGCTTGTTCCAGCTTTTGCTGCCTGCTTTAAAAGAAGAGTTTGTATTTTAAATTGTAGCTTTTGTTAAAACTATTATTTATAGTCTTGTGTAATAAAAATGTACATTTTAAACAACAACAAAAAAGCATTAAAAAATTGTATTTAAACCTTAGATGCCCCTCTTCTGAATGAAAGATTCAGGAATATTTCACAACTTTTATTAAAAGTGATGGGCATGGATTGCATGACTGCACAGAAATGTATCAATAAAAAAACAAAATAAAAATTGGTATTCACCTCTGCAGGGTATTCCCTTTTCCCTGTGCCATTTGGTGATGGTGATACATCTTTGCCCTTTGGTGGAGCCTCTTTTTTGCAGCTTTTACTATGACGCCATCTTTGAATCGGGTCATAGAACTTGGCCATACAATGGCGACATGTAAAGATCTGTTTCTCTGTATTGCTGAGATTATGGCAAGGATGTTCAGACATGATGCCTAGTTTCTAAATATATGATTATATACTTCAAAGTAAAAAGTTACTAGAAAAAAGTAAACAAAAAGTCATGTATACACTAAACACTATAGCTCTTGGGCCCTACGATTACTAAGTGTTCCCTTATACATGTTATAAAAGGTTTTTCTTTCACATTGACATTCACTTGCTTATCATGAAGATAGGTTACCATGACACAGCATATACAATTATAGGCTTTCTATTTTTGTATTTGGTTCATGACCACGAACAGACAACCGAGCAAAAAAAATAAATGGAATCTGAATGCTGTTTTCTACTTAGTTTAAGGGGGGACATACTAAAACAAGTCCCACGGGGAAAATAAGTCCCACATGAGTCCCACAGAAAAATAATGAGTCCCACCAGTAAATATGATATTTTATTAATATTTAACAACATATTTTTATAGAGTATCATTGTTTAGATATATTTTGAATAAAATTTTGTCACAAAAATGTTTTAGAAGCCGGTTACAACGATTAGTTACAAAAACAAAGAACGATAACTCCTATATCCTCTTATAACTATAGTGTTTCCTAATCCCAACAATAATGATAAAATTTTAGTAGTTTTTGAAAACAAATATTAATAGATATTATAATTTTATTATTAAATTAATTATATTTTAGAAAGTCAGGAAGTTCTAAGATGTTTTCTAAAGATCATGTATAAACAAAGAGCAGTAACTCTTACATCTGCCTCAGGTTATTGAAGTAACAAGCCATCCAAATTTTAATTTTAAAGATTTTATGAAACTTTCACAATCTTCCTGGGTTTAAACGCCTTGTGTAGCAGTTCTAACGACTAAAAAAAAACTACTACCAAAAACAGACATTTTCAATCAATTTTTTTTTTTTTTTATAAATTTAACAATTTTACAATATCAAAACTTGGGAAATTCAATGAATTTTTTCAATGCTAGTCTTGTATTTATCAAGCATATGAGAAAGAGACTTTTAATTGATATGTGCATTATGACTATACAGTCCTAGGAAATTATATAGACCTACAGAGCTAAAAGGAATTGTTTTAAAGATAAAGAAAGTGAACTACTTTACTCATTCATAACAATTGGATGAAATTGGAAGTGATATATATCGGACAAAAGTGATAAACTAGTATTTTAATAATATTTTTATTTATTTAAATTAAATTAAACTTTTATAATACTCTGTATTTTATAAAATACAGAGTATTATAAAAGTTTAATGTAATTTTATTTAAATAAATTAAAATATCATTAAAATACTAGTTTATCACTTTTGTAATAACAATTAAGTGAAATGAGGAATCAAACTGCAAAAATCAAAATTCCAGTTGACTGAGTTGAGATAGCTGTGTTTTCATCCATTAAAGATATACTTGTGTTATGAAAAACTTTTAGTTAATTAGAGAATTAGTACTCAGATGCATGGGCTTGTATTCAGGTATCCTGGAAATAATTTTTTAATTAATATGATGAACTTGTGGAAAATAAACATGTTTATTATAATCTAAATTTTTATCTTAATTTACATGATGAATAATAAACACATTTTTTAAATAAAGAAAATGGATAGATAACAGCTACTTCTCTGCATGGTATTTGTTCTACAAATTAATACAAAACTTCAATGGTTGTGCCTTTAATACTATAATTTTGAATCTTTTCATACAAGTCAAGAATTTACAATACAGTTTATGCTGTCTTAGTCTATTCTAAATCATAATTCTTATAATTTAATTTTCAAAGAATGTTTTTATTTATAAAATCAAATAGGAAAATTTTTGATTAATCACCTTATTTGTCATACATAATAGTAGCTGAAATTTCAATAATTCTATTTCTACATTTAATTAAATATTTTATTTGAAATCAAAATGCTGTAACCTAGCCCCAGCATTGTTCAAAAGTTATTGTAATAGGTATACAAACAACAGGGAGACTGAAAGGTGTGAATAACATCCCCCAGGTGTTGTATACAGGTACCTCCACGGTGTCTGTGTATATACCGTACCTCCACGGTGTCTGTGTATATACACAATAAACATTGGGTTTCAGAAAAACTTACCAAGTTGTTGTTAAATAACATAAAACAACAGTAAAACTATTTTAGTTTGTAAGAAACAAAGTAATTATATAAAATCATTATAATAAAATAAAACGTACTTTTAGTTGTATATAATGTAATTGGAAGAATATTTTCAAACGAAACTTAAAAATTCAAGTAAAACAGAAGAACAAATTTAATTCAGAAATAACACCATATTAAATTAACTTCCTTATTAAAAAATATTTTACAAATATCTATTTTTTTTTCAGAAAAAAAGTTACATGTAGCTATCAGCAGTAATTAAACATTTTCAGTATAGTTCTTGGCCATTGTTTACATTTGAACAGAGTTATCGTTCTTGACTGTGGTCTGAAATTTACAATCGTCTATTTAACACACTTAATACATTTTATCAAAACTTTTTTTGAAATATGATCATATAAATATAATGTTCTTTCAAAATAACCCTTTATTATATGTATTTATTGGCTCTTTTGCTGTGGGACTCACGTAGGACTCATGTGGGACTTATTTTCTCCGTGGGACTTGTTTTAGTATCAGCGGTTTAAGGGTGCTGTCTATCATCGATAAATTCAATTTGTATTTTTCCATGAATGATGACAGCTCGACAGGTGCTCGGGTTTTACACTTCATGAAACATACGTTTCTAAATCAATCGGACAAGTTTTTCATCAAACTATTAAAAGAAGTCATGGGTTGTCAATCAAATTCTTCAAATATGACAAAATATTGCAATAAATTTTAATGGACACCAAGTTGTCGATATAAAAATTTAGAGTTATTCCCCTTGATAAATGAGTAGATGTTAATATTTTGCAAATCAAAGTGCTAAACATGGAAATAATACATTCCAACATGTAATCATGGGTTTTGCCATTTTTCTTAACTACATTATTTACTCACTCTAACGTTTTCCAACTCATTTTGGCGAGACTTCTCGTTCGCGCAAATCTATCTCTCTCGGAACGCTTCTGTATTGTTCTTCAAATCCGGGAAGATTCCTGAGACATAGATGGCGCTCTTTAAAGTGTGATTTATCTTATAAAATGCAATAATTATAATGTATTTAGAAGACTGACCATATGTAATACTATATATTTCACTTTAAAGTATATTTTTTTTTAAATGCATAATAAGATTATGCCTTTTTACGTTCATTTTTTCGACACGCCAAATATACAAAGAACGACAAATCTTTGTGTAATTTACCCTACAAAACGTACAGTGGTGGATCTCAACAATTTAGCACCTATTTGTCAAATAGTGTACATACAATACATTTTAAAAATATATATATATAAATAAGCTTAAAAAGTAAAAAAAATAACAATAAATATTTAAAACCAACACTACGGAGGTGATTAACATTAATGAGTTTGTATTTAAAAGTTTGCCTCACCGAGGGAGGGGGGTGCAAACGCTGGCAAAGAAATATACATCATACGTCATAAGTTTGCCTTTTCGCTATTTTAAACAGTTACTTTAAAAGGAAAATACAAGAAACTTATAGGACGAACGAAAAAATAAAGAAAAAATGAACTCCATGGCACCAGAGTGTTAGTATAGGCAGTTAAAAAACGGCATAACTCTTCTTTTTAGTATTTTATAGGGGCTGGAAAGAGGGGGACCAAGAGGCGATATCTGCTATAAAAAAAGGGGGAATAAATTAATATAAAAATATTCAGCAATGTTCTTATCAGGAAATTTTGCAACTAAGGGCACTGGAAAACAGGTCATGAATTCCTTATATAAAAGTGATAAGGGTCGAAAGTAAGTGGAACGGTGGTCAGCAATGAGGGTGATCGGATGTACTCTGCTTCTGGTTACCTTAGTGGTCGCCTCTAAACAATTTTATCCGGAAGTCTCCATCACCGGACAGTCAGGACTGAGGCTGGGACTAGCAGGTGCGCTGTTTTTTTTTTTTGTTTTTTTTTTTTGGAGGGGAAATAATTAAGTTTCTTCATGTATGTATTATCATGATTATGATGAACACTATATATAATTATATCTAGCGTGAATTGTTTTGGAAAACAATTCACGCAAGACACTAATTATAAGATGTAAATTTTATATCCAAAGAAAATGGGAGAGGGGGGGGGGATTTCCATTTTACTTACCGCTGTGCATAACATATATAGCAAAAAGAAGAAAGAAAAGAAAAATACATTTTAATAAATTATAAGGATATACAACACAAACCAAAAAGTTGCACACATTTTATTTCATTATTATAAAAACTGACAAAATATTCCCTTCTTTCTTCCCCGACAAATATTATTCTTGAAAGCTATCTTTATTAACATAAATCTATATTTTAACGAATTCCATCATTTCAATTTTTTTCGATAAAAAATAAAAAATGTGCTACTCTTCTTTAATTTGTGTATATTTCTACATGTATACTGATTTACAAACTTACAGTGTTCTTTTCACAGATGAAAAAGGCATTTCTCATGTAATATATGCAGTCCGCACTGAGAATGGAGAGAAGACATTTAGAGTCGAATCCAAAAATGGTAAGATTTTAATCTTTTATGCATTCACGACCGGACATAATTCAATTATACAACGGTCCTTATTATGTATTGCAATTTTGTTTTGCAAAATAAATATTCATCTGAAAGAAATCACAATGTAAGAAGACACTAGTATATAGTATGTATTTTTAACTTTCTACAGATATATTCAGAATTAATTTTCATATATGAATGTGGGATATTTTAACAATCTTGAATAGATGATGATATTTGGGAATACGTGGATCTTGATGCAAACGCTCAAACTGGGGACCTCGTAGAATACAAAACTTCTGTATTATATCACAATGAATGGAACGACTCCACTTGGAACAAAGGTAGAAGTTTTCTTTACTCTTCTTATTAAAAAAATGAAACTTGAGAGTAAAACAATGCGGTTTTTTTCATGCTTAATGGTGCGATCATATCACAAGTTTTTATAAATCACTTTAATAACAGTTTACATGAAAATATTAACCTTAGAACATCACATTTGTCTGCGCTGTGAAAAGGCGATGAACCTTTTTCATTTATTTTTCAACAGAAAAAAAATATTGGGCGGCATACATGAATGCCTTATAAGCCTTAAATTAAATATCGATTTCTACACAATTCTAAGACTTCTATTTTTTCCCTTTTGTTTCATTTAGTAATTCTCGTACCAAGAGATTTAATGATGCCCAGAAAGAGCAAGAGGT